AAAAAATATAGAAGTTCTATCGTGAACGTTTACATCCCCCCAAATATATCAGTAATTCTACCCTAGTTATAATTGGAGTATCCATTAATATATGCATACATAGATACTTCATATTAACGTAGATGTAATACATAATTTCACCATGTACATTTCTATTTCTTTAAACTCATTGAGATTAAGAGGTAAACGAAACTATAAAGACCTTCACATGAAGGGGAGGGAGGGGAGAGTGAGAACTGGGAATGGCTGCTAATGTGTACGGACTTTCTTTTTGGAGTGTTGAACACGTTCTAAAATTAGAGAGTGGTGATGGTTGCGCAACTCCGTGAATATACTAAAAGCTATTGAACTGTATGCTTTAAATGGGTGAATTTTATGGTATGTGAAATATATCTCAATAAAGCTGGGGTGGAAAAATCTCCGTATAAAAAAGTTCATCAAGCTCTAGTCTCTAAAAGCATCCATGGGTATAAAACTATTGCTTCCCTTATTGTCCATGTACCACATCATCCTATGTCTTATTCACTAAAGGAGCTACTAATTTTAAAAGTAACAACTGAAAGTAGTGTCCTATCCCATTCTTTGGGATTCAGTTTTGGTAAGTCAATCGGTGCTTTAACCCATTACCACCTCACATAGCTTTAATATAAACCAATTACTCAAACAAATACAAAAACCCCTCTATATGGGTTCTCTTACCTGGTAATCCAAAATGCTGAATCCCAAGCCTTTATGATCTTTTACTAGCTCAACAATCTTGACTTCAGGAGACCACAGTGCTAATTCTCCATCATCATCTTCTTCAGTATTGACGTCTACATTCTGGTCAACCTGAAATACCAAAGACGACAAATGCTTCAGAACATTAACCTTTCAATTCTGAAAAGAATGAAGATAACAGGAATCTCATACTTTCTTCTCAAACTGGGAATTCTCTTTGGCATGCACAGTTTTTCTTTTTAATCTTTATAAAAGGGGCATGCACTGGTCACACACACTCTACGATAAGTTCGTCGTGAAACTTCAAGCATTTAAAAATGCAAATTGTTCATACAGTTTTTTTTTTTTAAATGTTAAGTACCTGTTTCATTCAAAGTATTAACACTGACCTCTTATACTTCAATGAGTTCTGTCATCCCATTAGAAGCATAAAAGGAAAAATACACAATTTAAGTAAATGAAAACATCACACAAAGTAGAAGCTTGTAAGATATTTAAGTAGCAATACCGGGATTCATAATCAGAGAGAGAGAAAGAGGAAAAGATGCCAACACAGAGACAGGTCAGAGCAGGACACAGAGAATCCACTTCTTTTGGCTCCTGGAAGTTTTTAAGAAAAACTTTACTAGAGAAATGAGGTAGGAAAAAAAAATCCAAGTCCTTGGGCATCATGTAAGTCTAAAAATAGGTTAAAAAAAATAAATCACTGAGTTGAAATAATGAAAATCTGATCTTGGAGGAAATCGGTCAGTACAACCGCCCAGCACACAGGTTCTTGGTTACTTTTCCTGACTTCACACCCCCAAGTCCCTCCATCCCAGACTCCCTGTCCTTGCAGGGAGAAGGGTCACTGCTATGCAGATGCCAGGAAGCGAAATGGGTGGGTCAATGAGCGTGCTACGCACAAGGAAAACAGCTCTTCAAAAACTCTTCTGATTTTATACTACTTACAGCATCATACTGTTGTTCTCATCTGATTTATCTTCCCCCAAATACTCTGAACTTCTATCTAAAGCTCAAGAATTTTCTTTTTCTTTATAGCCCAAGCAACTAACAAATTGCCCGGCTTCTAGGCTGGAACAGAAATGGTGAGGGATATGATACCACAGACTTACTTTACCATGGTTATCCACTCAACCCATATAAAGCCTGGCCCACAGTAGGCACTGAATAAATATCTGTTAAATACACTGAAAATTATATATCTTTCAGTGTGTTTCTCTTGAAATTCCTTCCTTTTTGGGGGTGGTGGGGGTGGGTCTCGCTCTGTCACCTGACTAGAGTACAGTGGCATCATCATAGTTCACTGCAAACTCAAACTCCTAAGCTCAAGCAATGCTCCTATCTCCTGCCTCAGCAGCCCGAGTAGCTGAGACTACAGGCGTGCACCACCACACCTGGCTAATTTTTCTATTTTTTGTAGAGATGGAGTCTCACTTTTGCTCAGGCTGGTCTCAGACTCCTGGCTTCAAATGATCCTCCCACCTCAGCCTCCCAAAGTGCTAGGATTACAGACGTGAGCCACCTCACCCGGCCTGAAATTCCGTCTTAATAAAGCTACAGACTAAATAATAATTTTAAAAAGTAGACATCTTAAAACTGTGGGTGATCTCAGTAAATAAAATGAAAATGCATCATCCCTACAAACATAACTTTGAACGACCTGTAGAAGAAAATCCATTTAATGGAATCAAAGAAGGGTAGGAGAAAAAAAAAAAACCCTCTATAATTTGGAATATAGTTAATACAAATACATTTTTAAAATTAGGATTGGTGCAGAACTCAATCTCAAACTGTCACTGCAGGTCATGGATGGTCAATACCCAAGACATGGTGGACTGAATCTAAACATGGGGACAATTTTTTGGTTCTTGAAATTAGTGGGAATGTTCTGGATCAATAACCTCTGTATATTTCAGCCTGATGTGAGAGAGTGATAGACTTAAAAAGAAAAAACTAATATCTTTCAATAAAAAGCAAAGTTCCAAAGGCTAATACAATATGATTGATGTTTTATTGGGGCATTTAATACCCTCACTGATTAATGAGCATTAGAATTTTGGCTGAGCTGCCTAACCAGATAGGGTTTAAGAACACAAGATGGTATCAGCATAAATGAAAAAGAGACAGATGGAAAAGAGAGCCAGGATTTTAAGAAACCACATACAATTACAAAACCCAAGTTTACAGAAATTTCAAGGCATCCATGGTACATAAGATATTATATTCCAACCTGAGACATATCGCTTTGATACAATCAATTCTGCATAACTTCTGTATTTATAGAATGAAAAGCAATCAACTAATGGGCAGCAAGGTTGACATTTAGCATAATTCAAAGCTGTTGTTCGCCCACTGTGATAAAGCATGACAAATGGGGGCATGGAGTCAGCAAGCAGGGTTGATGATTTACACACCCTGCAAGATTAGATTAAAGGCATTTCTATCAACCTTCAGAGGGAAGCCGCCACCCACATTTCATTTTAGTACCATAGCAAAAGTCATAAAGTGTGGTGTTTGAGTCCCTTCCTTGAAATATTTTTACAAAAGTCAAACATTTTTTTTTAAAAGATTGTCAATCAATAATCAAAAATTTGGCTAGGCATGGTGGTTCATGCTTATAATCTCAGAACTTTGGGAAGGCAAGGTGGGAGGACTGCTTGAGGCAGGAGTTTGAGACCAGCCTGGGCAATACTGCAAGACCCTTTCTCCACAAAAAATTAGCCAGGCATGGTGGTGGCATGTGACTACAGTCCTAGCTAATTAGGAGGCTGAAGCAAGAGGACTGCTTTAGCCCAGGAGTTTGAGGCTGCAGTGAGCTATGACTGTGCCACTGCACTCTAGCCTGGGTGACAGAGCAAAACCCTGTCTCAAAAAAAAATTTCTTTTTTTTTTAAATCAAAAATTTACAAAGCCCCTCTTATATACCCAGTACAGAATAAAAACACTTTGAGATAGAAAATAATTTTAAGATTCTGATGGTCTTCTCAGAAAAACACGATTAATACACACTAAAGTATCTGACTATAAGACAGTTCTGGACTCTTATGTACTTTAGGAGATCAGAAAACAAAGGTGGGTGGGCTGGGGGAGACAGAAACAGCCATAGCTAACTGTTCCTGGGCACTGTCCTGGGCAAGGCACTGTGCCAAGCGCCCTGCACACAGCACCGCATCTCCTCGTCACACAACTTCATGAGGTGGGTGAGTACTGTAAGTATTATCATTTTTCAGAGGAAAATTATGAACAGAAAGTCAAGTTAATTTGCCCAAAGAGTCACAATTATTAAGTGGTACGGGCAGGATTAAGTTCCAGGTATCTTGAAATCCAGACCTTAAACAAGTGAAAGCGAAGGCCTCATGTATCTAAACTGGTATTAATGGGAATATAATCTAAAAGAGGGGGGAAAAGTGGCATAAAAGATGATATTACGAATGGCATAAGATGGCAAAGCATGTGCTCAAAATTCTTCTCGTAAGTACAAGACTCTTAAAAAAAAAGAGAGAGAGAGTACCAAGAGCACAGAAAGTGTTATTCTATTCTCTGACCTTCTAAAGGCTTTTATGGCGATTTCTAGACTCACTTTGAAATTGATCACAGATCTTCATAATTTTAAGGTTCTGAAAAGGGGAAGTCCATTAGATATTCAACACTCATCAACATCTTAAACTGACTAAGACAAACTGAGTTGAACTACAAGCCAAAAGTAATGAGTCCAGGCAATTGCTAAGAAAACCAAAATGCATGCATGTCAATGTCACCAACATTTCAAGAAAAAGAGTTTTATGACATTAAAAAAAGGAACAATTTGAAAAACTATGCATTGTTGCTCTAGTCAAATAAAAAAGAGGGGTGGAGTGGGTTCCCCTCCCTTCGTATTTCAATACTCTCTTTGGGTTATCCTTGATGAATGGGCATGCCATGGGGGCTGGAGTATGTTCGTGAAGTACCTCCAGTTCAGGAACAGAGGTTTCAGTGGTCCTTGGTTCGTCTACAGAGGCCTCGTCATCAAACAACCTTCGACAGCATACCAAGGTAAAAGGGGGTGGCACTTCTTTAAGAAAGGAGACTGCTTCTCTGCGAGATTTTCCATAGAGCTGCACGCCATTGACCTAGGAAGACAAAGGATAAGTCAGACTTGAAGAGGTCCCAAATGAAAAAAACAAAAATCCCTTACTTACATTAATCTACCAAAATGAAAATAGGATAACATTTTATTCTCCCTGTAAACGAAGGGCCTAAATTTAATCATATTATTTTAGTCTTATAATAACTAAAAAATGTTAGAAATCCTTAAGGCTAAATCTTTACTGAACTTGAGTGAATAAAGTATACGTGCAGAGTACACCTATTACTGGGTAAGTGATCTACCTAAATTTTCACATCTGTGTGGTTTCTCCTTTCAATACTCCAATGTTGTACAATACTCCAATACTCCAGGCTGGATGGAGTGCAGTGGCACAATCACAGCTCACTGTAACCTTGAACTCCCGGGCTCAAGTGATCCTCCTGCCTCAGCCTCCTGAGTAGCTGGACTATAGGCCTGTACCACTATGCTCGGTTAATGACCAGCTCCCTTTAAATGTACTAAATATCATTTATAGCCTTCTTAAAACCATTTCCCTTTGCATTTTCGTAAGTATATCACTATAGATATTAACACTAAATTTAAGGCTGTCAAAAACTGCTTAACTTACAGCATGTAGGTAACCAAATCTAGAATACTCGGCTTTCAAAATTTAACATCAGTTCACAATATTCTTTCATATCCCACACTCTTAATACCATCCTAGAAAAATCACTTCTATCAGAAAGAAATACACACATTGTTTCTCGGCCTTTTGGCTAAGATCAAGTGAAAAGAAATACACATAATTTTGCATCAGTTCTATTCTTACAAACTCTGCTGATAGCATCATCAAATATATGCAGTAAGTATGTCAGTTTTCAAATTATTTTATGCACGTATCCCACATGTTTAAAGGAAAAAAGATAACTATTCTTTATTAATGATTAATCCTTATCGCCAAAACATTATCTACATATTATTTTTGGTGTATAATGATACTTGGCACCAAAGATGACTTAGAAAGATACGTTTATTATAATTTTTCATACATACAGCTTTCACTCCAAGAGTTCCCTCAGTTCCAACTACAGGTCTCTTAAAGCTGACCTGTCTGCTACTCCCAAAAATCTGAGGGATGAACACAATCCAGGCAACAAACAATCTTTTCACATTTGACTCGTACCTTCTTGAGAGGGTTTAGCAGCATTTTTAAAGATATTGCTAATCCGGCACTCATTTCTAACATGTGTCATGTCAATGTTCAGAGAACTGGCAGGGCTGATTTTAATGGGAGAAGCCTTTCCATAAATCTGTCCCTGCACCAGAGAATAAGATGACATTGGGTTGCTGGGAGCATCCCACCAGCAGCGGGCTGAGTCTCGAGTCAACTGTCCCTGATAACCACTCCCAAGCCTGTAACACACCATGCACTTAGCCATCAGGCCAGACATATCATCCTGTCTCTTAATTATTTACAAAGAAGCCAGCGCATGGGAAAGAGACCTGCGTGCACTTCAGGGAGCTAGCCCTATTGGAAAAGTAAATATTGTCTCCCCGCCTTTATGACTGATGAAGAGGCCCAGGGAGCAGCGAGTTCAGCAGCAGATGAAAGGTTTTTCCTTGGAATTAACTGCAAGTCAACCTTTTAAAAGAAGCGGCAAGGAGGTACCTATCACTGGTTCTAAAATCAACTTGATGGGTAGTAACCTATACTTAAGGAAAAAAAAAACAAGTAGATATAATCAAAGCAGGAATTCTAGCGATACACGGGTATTAGTTTGTATTTCACTTCAACAAATTAGAAAGTCACTTTTCAGGTTTTTATCTTGGAGAACCTTTAAATATTTATTTAGCTCATTATTTATTCATTTGAATTGTCTCCAATTATTATAGCAGTGCCTGGTAGTCCTCCTCACTACTCTCTATCGCTAAAGGGATTGGTCACATTTCCCATTACCAACTCCTATCTAAGGGGATTTATGGCTGCTGTAAATAGCTGCTCTGGGCCGAGACTTGGCACAGTGTTCTAACCCCAAAGCAAATTTGTGTTTCTGGTTTTAAGCTCTAAGGAGTACACTGAACACACTCACACGCACACACTCTCTTTGAGTTCAGGAGTTTATTTGGCTAACTTTGCAGAGATTTTTTATCTCTATATTTGGTTACTCAGAAGAAGCTGATTTTCATTTTAAAATTCACAATATTTCTCAAGGTCCTTCAACTTGAGAGCCTTTTAAGTGTTGTCAAATCTCAATTATCCCGATTTTTGATTAGAAAATACGCACACATGTATATACTTCCAGAGTACAGAATACTGTAAAAGTGCTGTCCCATTATCTTACCATTCTGAATCCTCAGCCCAGCCCATAAAGCTTGTCGATATGCCTTTTTCACAGTAGTAATATTGCCAATATCTCACACAGAGATAATGTTTTATAGTTTACATGGAGAATGCTTCATTAGATCCTCACAAGCACATAGTGAAGTGGGCATTTATTGATGAAGAAACTGATTCCGTAACAGTTAAGTGACATGTTAATGAAGTGACACGTGGCCAACCTGTGGCAAATTCGGAACCCAAACCAGCTTCTCTGACTTCCAGGCCTGGGTTTCTTTCCCTATCTCAAGTTCTTTCACTAGAAATCTGTATTTAAGAATTCAAAAAATCTTCATGCTACCCTATTATACCACATTCTATTTATTACAATGTAGTAGGCCCACGGAATCCTAGTCTTGGCTAAAGCATAGAGGATTCAATTTAATGGCTGGGATCACCTATACTTGCTCTACTCTGATCCACCCAGCATTTCTTTAGCACCTACCTACCACATACTAGTAGTGAGTTATACTTGGTGTCATTGGATTTTACACTTACAAATGGTTAAAATGGTAAATTTTATGTCATCTATATTTTACCACTAAAAAAAAAAGCGAACTAAATTGGTTTTACTTATACCTCCACATGTCCCAAACAAATATATCCTATTTCTCAATACCTAATAACTACATCTTATAGCAATGGTCTCCAATGCACAGATTAACATGTGTGAAAGCTGTGCCTGTGCCCCGCCAATTAGAAGAGGAATACATGACCTCAGAATCAAAAAAAAAAAACATAATTCATCTAGTAAAACAACTTAGGGCATTAATCTACAATAAACACCCCGATACCATTCTCTTAAACCCCTCTAAAAATAAGCAACTTACTATCTCTTAAAACAGGACTCCAACACCCTGCCCTCCCATGCTTATGACAGAATTTGGTATCTAGTCATAGCACTTTTCCCTCTGAACTCAAAATTCAACTCACAATTCTTCTCGACAGATTCCTTTAGGTGGTTGGACACCACTAATAAATTGCCGTTGTACCCAACATGAGACCTATTTGCTAGCCTTGTCATTTCACTTTCAGCATATATAAATTTTAGAAAGAAATCTCTAAAATCAGGGCCCACGGGATTCTAATTTTGGCTAAGGCTACTAGATTGATTCTATTAAATTCAACCTAGAGTTTCTTGTAGATGTTCACTTTTAAAAGAATCCTCTTCTATGCAGTTTTCTCCTCTGACCATTCCCCACATCTCTTTTAGGGGCATAGGAGGTAGTATAATAATGTATTTGAAAAAACAATGAAATGGGAGTTAGGAAACACAAACTGAAGTTCTCCTTCTACCACTAATTCAGTGTATAAAGTTGGGGAAGTTAGTGCCTTATTTTCTTATCTGTAAAATTAGGGGTTCCAGTGTTGTTTTGCTTATTTGTTATACTAACCACGCAACTTAAAAATTCCTATGTCTTTCTTCCCCCATAAATTTTACCTCAAGAAGCTCATCCTCTGGCTGCAGGAGGCTCAATGTATCAACAGGACCACCAGGAACTATTGAAGAGATATAATGGTGCCCATCAAAGGAGTCCACTTCCACGCCAAGCCTCAGAGTGTGAATAGGCAGCAGCTGTAGCAGGACACAGAGCAATAATATGGAACACGATAAGCCATGTTAATCCTCCATCCAGTATTATTTTACATGAAAACCCCACCTCTTGAATCAGATCACCAAAATTTTAAAAGAGGACAATAATGGGAAAACTAGCCTCAAATAGAATAAAATTATGAAGTCATGGGTCTTATTGTTCTCACTCCTCTTTTCCTTTTGGGTTCCCTGGGAATGGAGATAGAAATGTACAAAGTCCTGCCTTCATTTTTGAGCTCCAGATGGTCCACGCTTTCTGTAGCACAGTATGTATGCCATGCTTCACTCTTCTATGGGCTCCGTATCCCCCAGAACATCCTAACTCCTCTTTACTACCTAATCAACTTTCACTCACACCTCAATACCAAGACAATGTCACTTCCCGGAAGCCCTGAGTTAATGTGCCTCTATCTGAAGTTTAAGAACACCCTGTGTGCATCTCCATTACTGCTTTAGAATTCCTGTTTTCTTGGCTTCCCCCTTTCTCCACCCTCCCACACTTGCATGCAGAGTCTGTACCTTTCATCTCTACAATCTCAGTACCAGGCACTAAAGATGGACTCATTAGATGTCCTTTCCTTCTAGCCAATTAAGTGAGAATATCTCCAATTTGAGGAAGGCAATCATATCCATTCTGGGATTGATTCTATCAGTTTATAAGGATTCACATGGGCTAAGATGGGAGTCAAGGGCTGAGAAACTCTAGCCAATGTCAGAGTGAAGAGAGGAGCATTTCAGTTGCACTCATCTTTGTTGGCTGCAAAGGTCAAGGGCATTCACCAATCTCCACTCTCTTGACTTTCATGGCACTAATGATTTCTCACTGTGGCTATATAAACAAAATACAGTAAACGGCACTAATTATGATTTATATTTCCTATAGCAATAGTGTTTTTCTAAAAATGCCAGAGCTACCTCTACCTACACTTTACAAGGAGAAAATCCTACACGGGGTGGCAATGCATCCACAACGTGGCTCTTTCCCTCAGTTTTCCTATTCTCTGTGAGCCCTTATCCCTGAGCTCGTCACTTCCCCGTCGTCTGCTCTGAGTCCCCAGAGTGCCACAGGCCTTGATTCAGACACCATCTGGGGCTCATTTCTGTCCCGCTACGGACATGCAGACAAATGTGAAGTGGCAAGTAGTCTAGCTGACTGTGACTTCAATGAATAAAAATGGGCATGAGGGACTTCTGGCCCTGCGATAATTTTCTGAAAATTAAGTGCTCTCAGCCACTAAGCACTCTGGGATCTACATCCATCTCTGGCAATAAGATGTTACAGCATGCTATTCATTTATTTTTATTTTATTTTTTTTTAGAGTCAGGGTCTCACTTTGTCTGGCCAGCGCTCTACATGGAAGGTTGGGATTGTTCTTATTCTGCTCCCTCTCTGATTTCTTTATTTCTCACTGCTGCCAGCTCATTCTCTTGCTTAGTCATTGTGCCAAATTATGTCTATCAAGACAGGATACATTAGGGTCATCTTTTTTTTTTTTATTTCAGCATGTTATGGGGGTACGGATGTTTAGGTTACGTATGTTGCCCTGGCCCCTCCCTCCCCCACCAATAGGGTCATCTTCTTTAGTGGTATATCTACTGGAGGTGAGTAAAAACTCTCAGAGAAATGCTTCTGCAGTAACAGTTTACCCACCCATCTCTGCCAACTGTCTTCCTCATTTTGTTTACGAGCCCATCACTACAGGGCAGACAGCCGTCAGCGGATTCAAAACAGATCATCTCCAGTGGGGTGGCTGGAGCTGGCTTGAGGGTGGATTGTTCAATTTTCAGAAATCTTGCAGGCCAGTTGGGAAACATAGCCATTAAAAATTAAATTATAGGCCAGGCGCGGTGGCTCACGCCTGTAATCCTAGCACTCTGGGAGACCGAGGCGGGCGGATTGTTTGAGCTCAGGAGTTCAAAACCAGCCTGAGCAAGAGTGAGACCCCGTCTCTACTAAAAATAGAAAGAAATTAATCAGACAACTAAAAATATATATAGAAAAAATTAGCCGGGCATGGTGGCGCATGCCTGTAGTCCCAGCTACCCGGGAGGCTGAGGCAGAAGGATCGCTTGAGCCCAGGAGTGTGAGGTTGCTGTGAGCTAGGCTGACGCCACAGCACTCACTCTAGCCCAGGCAAAAGAGTGAGACTCTGTCTCAAAAAAAAAATAAAAAAATAAATAAATTATATAAAGTTATAATTAAATAATAATAAATGGAATAAGTGCTCAAAACCCATCATTTATTATTATTTTTCAATATATTTTACTAAGATCTATGTTCTTGGAGTGATTTATATCTATTATATTTGCATAGATGGAAATAAGAATTCAAATACCAAAGAGGTGGACAACAGAAAGAGACAGAGGAAATCCTTGCTTTGGTTAGGGGCTAAATCCAGCTACAACAGATAATTAAACAGTTCTGCTCCCTTGAAGAAGCCTGTACCAATGGCTGTGCATGGCTTCCTGACTCCATAATCAGTGACGTCATTTTGGTAGCTTCAAATATGCCATAGAGGGAGTGTTGACATCACAGATACTGGTAAATGCTATACAAATTGGAGCTGTCTTTTTTATTTTTTATTTTTTATTTTTTGAGAGCTAGACCTTTACCAGTATACCACTGATCTATGATACAGTTTGGACACAATATCCAGTGTATATTTATGGGGTGTAAACTATATGCAAGGCATTGAGCTATGAGCTGGAAATATAGAGTGAAGGAAAGAAATAGGCTCTGCCCTCACAGAAGGAATATCTGGTATGATAGACAGATGGTAAACAAACAAGAAGTAGACACAAGCACATACGTAAGTGAATAAACAACTAACCAACAAGCAGCAGGATTATCACAGTCCTGATATAAGTCAAGAACACAAAGAAATGCAGCCAAGGAAAGTGTGACCACTGTGCGAAAAACAACAATGACCACTTGCAACAGTGCTGGGAGGGACTAATTAGGGTCACGACAGAGCACAGATGGTCAGGGCCATTTCGGAAAGTTGGTCAGAGGAGGCTCCCCAGAGAAGGGGATGTTTAAGATCAGACTTGAAGGGTAAGAATGAGTCAGCCCTACAAAAAGCCTGCTGGGAGGTGGCCTGGGGAGGTGAGTGAAAAGAACAATTGCTAAATTTTTGGTTTCAGCAAATGACTAAATGGTGGTAACAACTTCTGCATAGAAATAAGTGCTTGAATTAAAACAAGACATTGCTGTACACACAGAGAGATCTTTGCTAGTTATATACTATTAATAATATGCTCCCATACAAGATAAAAAAGTTAGGAGGAAACTGGTTCCACCAACCTCCCCCCACACACGTACACACTCCAACTAATCCTGATCGACGTGCATGGCTGACCCATTCCCACCACTGTGGAACAGCCGAAGTCAGGAACGGGCTGGAGTCCTGGGAACCAGCAGAGCCTCACCCATGGCATCCCCTGCCCTCCAGATACAGCACTGTGCCCATGTAGGCTATTCCCCCCGATATCTGTAAACAACCACAGGCTCCCTAGAAAACTCAGATGGTGAACAAAACACACATGCTTCATCTTCAATTATGCTGAACAAATAAACCAGAAATGATGTTTACAAAATCTGTCAAGTTAAAGGAGGCCTACCTAATATTAGTTCTGAATCTAAATTTGGGTGCAGCTGGGTTTCTGAGATTTCATGTTACATTGCTGCAGGCTTCTCTGCAGGAGCAGGACTGTTTAATTACCTGTCCCAGCTGCACTTAGCAACTAAACAAATCAAGTATTTCATCTGTCTCAGTTGTCCACCCCTTCAGTATTCTGAGTTCTTAAGCAGAGAGCAAGAAGTGCTGAAATGATAGGAGTGGGTGCAACAAATGATTGATGCCCTCACACACACCGCATGGCATGCTTTCTCATGCTTATCCAGCGCGCTTTGCGAGGGGTCCTCTTTAAACTGACAAAGTTAATGAGCGGCAGGATTTTCATGATCCTGATATGACAAGTAAAGGATACAAGGAAATGCATCCAAGGAAAGTGTGACCATTGTGTGATTTACTGTCAGTGCTAAATGATGAAGATCAAATGAGATCAAGAAAGCTAGAGGTCTTCAACCCGTGAGTAGAGACCTGTCACAAAGCAAACTGCAGCCCATTCATTTCGCTAAAAGCTCTACTTTTCGGACGCTAAAACAAGATATCAAAGGGCTCAAATGGGAATATAAATGATATTGCTTCAGGGGGAAAGAAACTTCTGGAAAAAAAATCTCCAAAGACGTGTCAGTGGGATGAGGGAGGACACTTCCAAAAGAGTTGAACTCAAAGTAGAACACAAAGAATCATGTGATTGGTTCCTGTAATTCTCTCTCACTCACATACAGACAGAGTGAAAATATTATATAGCCATTTGTTTAAAGATTAGGGAGTTACTAAATTTATCATAAATAAAAAACTTTCCAAGAACAAGGCTACACGTTCTAAAGTAATGGTGAACCACAAGCATAATGGTCTCCAAAGTTTGTTGTGTTCCCTCAGAGATTACCCAAGACGGTCAATCCATCAGACCTTTATCTACATTTGTTTTTCTTACCCCTCTAAAATTTTAATTCTGAATGTTCAAAAAAATACATAATGTGTATGCTGTCGTATGGTAGTATATTAAAAGTCCTCTTCAGTTACCTAACAGCAAGGTTAAACATTAGTTGTCATTTATCATTTTTGATATCATTTGTTATCAAATGGCCCGTCAGATAGTTGAGTTTTTGATGTGGGATCTAACATCTTGTACTTGACTTTCTCCCGACCTTTGCTCATGGTATTTCCCTCACCTGGAATATCCATTGTACTCATTTCTCCTAATCTATTCTCCAGATTATAGTTCAAACGCCACCCTCCCAATAAGCTTCCTTCATCTGTCTTAAGGAAGTATAAATAATATCCTTCCTTGAACATGTATCAGGCAGCTTAACAATACCTGAATAATAATTCCCAACGGAGTGGGGCAAGAAAAGGATCAAACCTACGAATCAGTCCTGGTGAGGAGGAACAAAATAGGGCATGTGTACTCTGAAAAAGCTCCTCTGATGTTTCCGATATGCCACTTGCCCTAGTAGGTAAGCACTGCTAGTACAGTCACTTGATTCTGTGTCTTACGTTCTCCACTCAAAAAGAGAGCAGCCAAGTTTGAAAGTACATGCCTGAGAACTGCTAATGGTGTTGCCTCTGGGGAAGAGGACAACGGGACTGGGATAGGGGAGAATCTTATTTTTTGCAGTACATACTTCTATACCTTTCGAATTTTCTGTCTCGTCCATATATTTATTATCTGTTCAAAATTAAAAAGAATAGAAAAAAGAGTGGTGCAGGCTCAGAAGCCAGATAACCCTTAATTTGTTTCCTAATTCTGCCACTTACGAGCTGCACATGATCCTGGGCAAGTTACTTTACTGCCTGACACTTGGTTTTCCCATATCGAACATGGGAAGGAGGTAATGCTTGCTGACCAACAGGGTTATTGTGAGAAATAAAGGAGAAAATGTATTTAAAGCAAAGAACTAGCCCTGGTAACTGAACGGTAACACCTGCTGCAACTCCTGGAAAACCCAGTAAATCCCCCTGCCTTAAAAATTATATTTGCTCATAATAGAGTAAGGGGCGGGGGGGACCACATTTTAATGTTCTGTGGCTCAGGAAATATAATTCAGGAGGGAAATAAAGTAAAATCTGTCAATCTGTCATGTCAAAACCGGAGAACAGACCTGGAGTTTTTGTTTCCCATATGAGAGATATTACTGATGCTCACTTCATATTACAATTGATGGCCAGCAGAAAGGTCACTAGAATGAGCTTAATGCTTCTCCCTCACAGAGCTGTGATTATCTTAATAGTAAACACTTGCCAAGAAAGCCATCCCTAAAAGTGCAAGTCTCCCCAGATGCGGGAAAACTGTTCTTGTGTCATGATTAACAGCTTCCTAGAAGCGGCACAGCTAATGCTCAAGCCACTGTAAATAGCATTCACCTCCCTCTTCCCCCACGACTCCATCCACCTCAGAAGAAAACCTCATCTATTAACATGAGCCCCTAATATATGAACATGCTTCTTGAATCCTCCCTTCAAGAGTGGTGGCCATGGGGCAGCAACCATCTAAAGACAGCTAGACCCATAGAAACACCAGTTTATACCCAAGACAATGATTTTCCCAATCAGAAAGCTGATGGGACAGAGGAAAAACCTGTAGCCTTGACCTCAAATCATGACACAACCCTGCTTAAAAACCCTCCACTGGTTTTACCTAGCACTGAGGATGAAGTCCATGCATATCAATCACCACGTCACTCAAGGCCCCGCAGCACCTGGCCTTCCTCCACCAGCCTCATTTAACAACATTCGGCTCTTAACTTAGTTTGACCCAGACACCCTGAAACAAACAACACCCGTTCTCCCCACCCACGCCAGCCCTTTCCTACAACAGGGCTGCTGTTCCTGCTGCTCCCTTGCTCCCAGATCACCACCTTCTATCCCTCAAGCCTGAGCTCAGAGAGGCTTGCCCTGGCCTCTTCTCTAAAGTGGCCTCCCCTAGTTACACTCTGTTCACCCTGTTGATTCATTTGTAGCACTTCTTACAATCTGCAACTATCTTATCAAGTTATTTTTTTTACTTGTCTACTATTATGCCCCTACCCAAGCCAGAATCTAAACTCTATGAGAGCAAGGACCCTTTCTATTTTGCTTCCCACAGACGGTAGTACATTTCTGGCATAGAGTAGGGGCTTCGTACATATTTTAGGAATGAATGAACGCACTACGCCCTGGCCACTATCTTGCTGTATAATTTTGGAGGAGTCATTCATCCCAGACAGACTTTAGTATCCTCATCTGCAAAAGGGGTTTTATTGCCTAGTTAAAATCTCCTTTATATACTACAGGGAAAAATGAGAAGCTACTGAATTAAGACCTAAACTTCTAGCCCAGCAAGGTAGCTAATTCCTATAATCCCAGCTACTTGGGAGGCTGAGGTGGGAGGATGGCTTGAGGCCTTGGGAGGATGGTATTGAGGAGTTCAATACCAGCTTGGGCAGCACAGTGAGATGTCTCTTTTTTTTAGGAAAAGAAAAAGGGGGGAAGGGGGAAGGAGGGGATGGGTATATTCAAACCTAACGAATGCAGTACACCTAACTGTCTGGGGATGGACATGCTTGACGCTCTGTCTCGGATGGGGCAAAGGCAATATATATGTAACCTAAACATTTGTACCTCCATAATACGCTGAAATAAAAAAAAAGAAAAAAAGACCTAAATTTCCAATTAAGAAGAAAATTTTTAAAAAGATTATAGCTTATCAAAATGAAGGCTTCTCTAAGTTTTAACTGCCCTGGCCTTCAATTATCTGGAATAGGAACTCTAAAATTAATTTGTAGTGAGAGGACAATAAAAATGTTAAGAAAAATTATAAAAGTTACCTTCTGACATTTTGCCATTAGAAATAAAGCTTACCAAAAATGTTTTAATTTCAAGAACCATTGCCTATACTCAGACCTGAAACCACTTTTGTACTTTAACATCTAGACCTGAAGCCTCTTTTAAAGTCCATATTCCTGGTCCTAATTTATAGGAAACATTTTTAAAAGGACTTCTTATAATATCTGAAAAGCTAACACACTCTGCACAATATTACTATGCATACTACCTTCAAGTGGACAAAAGAGTCGAACATGGGTTTTGGGCTTCTGGAAGTGGCATAAAAGATGCCACATTCTTTCCAAGTACATCTAACCATTATCTGTCATAACAATGAGACCCAGCGCATTTCCAGAAAACATCTAAGACTAAATTCTGGAAACTTTAGATCATAGTACTCAGTTTCTTCAGCAAGAATTTAAAGAAAGTTCTTCAAACAATAAAAAACTGACGTTATCTTAAAAAAATAATGCTTACCTTTGAATACTTCTGTAACTCAGCATCATCTGCAATCTGTGTGTCCAAAGTAGCAACCTAAATTTACAAGAAACATATTTTTGGTATTTATAAAATTATTACTGGGGCCGGGCGCGGTGGCTCACGCCTGTAATCCTAGCACTCTGGGAGGCCGAGGCAGGCGGATTGTTTGAGCTCAGGAGTTTGAGACCAGCCTGAGCAAGAGCGAGACCCCGTCTCTACCAAAAATAGAAAGAAATTAATCGGACAACTAAAACTATATAGAAAAAATTAGCCGGGCATGGTGGAGCATGCCTGTAGTCCCAGCTACTCGGGAGGCTGAGGCAGAAGGATCGCTTGAGCCCAGGAATCTGAGGTTGCTGTGAGCTAGGCTGATGCCACGGCACTCTAGCCCCAGCAAAAGAGCGAGACTCTGTCTCAAAAAAAAAAAAAAAAAAAAAAAAAGGCATTACTTTACTTCTCCCTAGGTTTTTCTGAAAATATCTGTAAAACCTATATATTGATAACTCCATCTGATCTACACTATAATTTCTTTCCTATATTTCTGAAATCCATAAGAGTAACACATAAAATTTCAGAATACATTTGTTGTTGTTCTTCGTGTCAATTTTTTCTCCTAAATTATCCAAAAGTTGAACAGAATGTGATGGGTAAATACTAGTTTTTAAAATCTATGATCCCTAAAATTTTAATATAATCCTCCATTATAATGAATCCATAAAAATTTTACTCCTTTGACAAAACCAAGAGTATGGCCATTTTTACTTTCAAATTCAGGCCTTGAAACAAAATTTGCATGTCAGTAAAGTCAGATGAGTTTGGAAAAACTGAAGCATCTGACTTTCCACAACAAACTCAAACCATTTCTCCAGGAGAAAAAGCTGGCAAAGACACAAACAGAAAGACCTGGTCCCTGGTGGGAAGCTCATGGAATACTTAAAGCTTTTAATCCTGGCCTAAAACTATTGTTCTAAGCTTCAATGGTGGACAGCCACAGAAGCGAATTCCTTGCAAGCAAAAAGTACGTTACTGATGATTTGCATCTGTAAGTTGTTAATAAAAGATGGTGCATCTGGAAGGAAAGGATAAGTTAAACAACGACCCAACTAAAGCTTCTAAAAGTACTGCATTTCAGATAAGTAGGTCCTGGAAGAAAGTGAAATAGGAAACATTGGAGTACATATATTCATTCATTCATCCACCATGTTTGGTTTCTCCCTTCTGCCTCTCATTCCTCAAAACAACAAGCTCGAACTTTTAATGAATAGGCCGTTACTTTAAATTTCTAACTTCAAATTCTGTCTCCTCTCCCTAGCCTGTGATAAATGAATTTTAAAAGGAGGATAAAATTTTAACAAAGAAAGACCCCATCACAAAACTGGCCATTTGTAAATACTGGTGTATCAAATTACTTTGAATATCAAACTACTAAGGTTAGTAAGAAAGGTCCTCTGCTAGATGATAGCCTAATAGCAATATCCAAAATCTATGAAGCAGAGAAGCAGCAGTTCATGAGGACTGACATGGAAACACAAAATTAGCAGGAGAGAAAATATCAACTGGTTTTTACTCATCTTAATGAGTAAAATCATCTTTTACTCATCTGTTTTTACTCATCTTAATGACACTGGAAATTTTCTGACAATAGATAGTGGCTAGATATTCTAAACTAAGAAGAGAAAAAAAATCTCTAACCAGCCAACAAGTGCTAACGATAAACATATGTAAGAAAATGTGAATGATAATAGGAATTTAAAAGAATATTTTATGACTAATGCATTTAGTGAACACAGTAGAAGCTTTTCTAAGCACAGCTTTTCTGCTTTCATGTGGATTCTTATGGGGAAATGTAATCAATCCCTTACTCAATGAATCTAATAACAGGTGAAAGGAAGTCTAATGGACCACTGGCACTATAAACTTATACCTAACCTAAATTATTTCCTGTTCTTCCAAATACATTTGATAATCATTCTTTCATTTTTCACATAAAACTGTAAGATTCTTTGTGAAACATAGGACTAATATCCACAGCCCTTTCAGTGTACAATAAAACAAACAGATCATAAAAGCAATCATAAAAATGCCAGCAATTTTAAGCAGCTGATACAGGTTATAAATTTAAAGGCAAGCCCTCGCTCTCCTAACATTTTTCTGCCTATTGTCAGCTTAAATTGTTTCAACATGAACTGAGTGTCTGCTAATTGTAACTGAAGCTTGTGTGCAGTCCTTAATTATTCTTACAGCTTAAAATGCTTTAAAAAATCAATTGATTGATCCAATAGGGAAGAACGGCAAGAAGAAAAAAATAAAAGCTGGCTGGCTATTTTTTGACTCTCCCATTTATTTAAATTGTAGTGTTAGGAGCTTGATGTGCAATGAGACATGAATGTTTTTTATTAGAGGATTTTAACATACCATTACTTCATAATCAGGACCCAAAAGGTTTTCCCATCTGGATTTCAGCTCATTTTCTGGAAAGCCTGGGACTCTTTCTGGATTTAAAAAAAAAAAAAGAACGTTGAAGCTACTGTGAGCCAAACACACTTAACGACGAAATTCTTCAATAATAGCACAGTTTCAGTAAGTAAAAGGGAAATGAATAAAAAGGAAAATGCATTAACTTAGGTCTACTAGGTAAAGTAAATCAGAGGTGACTTATAAGACTAATGTAAAATGTAAAGACCAGCTGTGACCAAATTATGAAGGAGCTTTTGTTGTTAAGGAATATTTTAAAGAGAAGAAGAAATGATGAGTTTATAAATGAAATTTAAATTATATATAATTTATGGGTAAACATCCTATAGTTTACAAGTAAAATGCATCTGGCTTTGCTGTATAATATGTTAGGGCATACGAGGATTTAGTTTAAAATTAATCACTTCAAAGTAGTACCATCCTGCTACCCATTGGAAAAGTAAAAACTTATCAAGATACCTTTACTGTCCACAAGGCATATCAACACAATACAATCAGACTTTTCACATGGGTGGCTATAAAGGCTTGGAACCAGAGTTCCGTGAGCTTTAATATAACAGAAATTTTGGTTTTACACCAGTCTTTTGTTGCTAATGGGTCATTAGGATATTTATATCTTTATGACGTTCTTACTTGAGTATAATACTGCCTTTGTTGAATAGACAATTTTAATGAGGTAAGGCAGATTTTAAGTATCTTGCCTGTCTTCCACATGATCTTAGCCAGAAGCTCAGTGCACAGTTCACAGTATGAATAATGTCTAATAGGCAAAAGTCAAAGTACTAAAAGTGTAATTACAACCTCTATCCGTAGTAGTACCAGAAAATGAACAAACTTCCACCTTCTTTTCAACTTAAAAAAGCTCTTTCAATTTTGTCTTAAGATTGGAAAAGTCACAGAACACTTATCACAACTGACATAACCGTCTGCCTGAAATCAAATGTAACTTGCAATATCAGCTCTTTTAGTCTTCAGCAAACAGTTCATCTTGGGTGCATATAATGCTTAATTACATAATACAAATCATTAAGTGAAAGACACTAACCTCAGAAATCAGAGACTAAGACTAATGAACACTAAAGAACTTAAATTACTAGATTTACAAAAGAACATCCATGAAATAACTATACTAACTGATATGCTAGATTACATTTAGGGGATAACTAACCAAAGAGCCTATTAAAACCAAAACATCAAATTCATTTGGGCTCTGCACCTGTGTCCATTCCTGTTAACATTTCCTTAAGAAATTATATTAAGAGTTCTAACATCTTGCCTGTTAACTTTCTCCTAGGCAGCGATTTCTTATCTGGTAAATGAATCTGAACAAAATATGCAATGTATTAGTTGAATTCTAAGCTTAAAAACATGGTGCTCAGATGAGAGTTATACACATGTATAAAGTAATGCTGACATTTCACCAACAACCCTTTTGACTGTATTTTACCTTTCAGTTGCACAACAAAAACACAGTCATGAGTTTTAAAGCACAGCACAAAGGCCTACATGCTAGAGGATAAAGATTAATTTTAGTTTCAGCAGCTCAATAAATCCTAGGCTACAAAAAATAATCAAAAAAAATGATACGATGATCTGAAACAATTATTCCAAAGACAAAATAGAAAGCTAACTTCATAGCAGTTAGAAGATTCTGGCTTTAATCTCGAACTGAAATTATACATATGCACAAAGAAAAAAATGCAGTGAAGTTGATCCAAAAAGCACAGCTAAAATATTTCTAGGCTGGGCATGGTGGCTCCCACCACTTTGGGAAGTCTGTGGCAGGAGGATCACTTCAGGCCAGGCGTTTGAGACCAGCCTGGGCAACATACAAAAAAAAAAAAATTACCTAGATGTGGTGGCACACACCTGTAGTCCCAGCTATTCGGGTGGCTGAGGTAGGAGGATGGCTTGAGAGCAGGAGTTTGAGGTTGCAGTGAGCTATGATGACACCATTGCACTCTAGCTCAGGTAACACAGTGAGACCTTGTCTCAAAAAAAAAAAAATAATTCTAAAACTATTTTTAACTTCAAAATGTATTTGATTTTCACCTGATATTTCACTAAAAACCTATCGATGCTCAGCTGAATTAAAATTGCAAAGATAAATTGCAGCCTACTTGGGTCAAAAAGAACAGGGTAAATTTCCAGATCACAGGAAATATTTTAACTTGAATAAGGGCTTAACTCCTTCCTTTGGGCTATTCTATCCTAAGACAAGACAAAACTAAAACCCAAAACTTCTCTGAAACATGCATAGTGTTAAGTATTGCAGGGAGTTTCATTTAGCTGGCAAGGCTTTCCTTAGCACCCTTTGTGCAGGGAACTGTGTAAAACTTACTCAATATGCTTTCAGAATAGAGTCCACTATAACAGCTGAGGTATTAAAGTTCAAAGTAAAAGAATAAAGCAGTAAATCAATTCAAAAGAAAATTAAAGAATAAATGTATAGCAGCCGGGAAGTTTGATAATTTGATGCAACATATAAAAATGTACATATTATTAATTTTTATGGTAAAAAAGAAACATTGCTGTATGTATACACATAACTACAATCTATAGCTATGTATAAATCAATGATAATATACAAGCTAAAGAATGCAGTAGTTAAAAAGGCTAAAAACAAGATAAAAAATAGTCATCACGTACTAATATGCATTCAAAATTAATATAATAAAACAAAGATTTAAAAAGAATATGTTTGATCCCCAACTGCCGTAAGTGTTAAGATGTTGATAATAAGAATACCCTATTTTATATCCCCCAAATGCCTCTAAGATTCCTCACATTATATTATTAATAACTATGAAGACAGAAAATGGTTAACAAATCAGTAAGTCCAATTATTCCCAAGTGAATGCTTGGTACCTACCCAATTTTTCTAAGACTTGTATGTTGTCATTTTTTAGGTTATCCATTTTTTCTCCAATTTCTTCATCTTCACCATCCAAATTAGTTTCTGTTTCCACTGCTCCAGTTAGAAAGAGACCTGGTGTTTTGGGTGGTTCTATAATTCCTAAAAAAAAAAAAAGGTTGCTCATTTGAATCACTAGATCACTAGTAGCTGAGGACCATGTTGAAGTGAGCTTATTTCACTCCTGTTCTCCCATTTCACAGCCTGATTACAAGCATCTGAGGTAACTTACATATGATTCCTTTAACCTAAAGTGCCAAGTGTAACAGGTAATCAATCAATTCCTTAAAAAATAAACTTGTTGATAGTATTGAAAAGAATAAGGAATTAGGCAATGGGAAGAGAAAAACAAGGTAAAGCCGATGACAAAGCAGGGGTAGATGCTTCTCAGCATAGCCTTGGAAAAAAAAAAACACTAAGTAAGGTCTTAAGCTCTTGTGCGGGTGGTGGGCAGGAAGTGAGACTTGCAGAATAAGCTGGGTCAATTGCTCTGGGCTCTCCTAGGTGCTGGCCATGACATCATCATGAGTGTAACAAACAAGTCTACACAGCTAATGTTATTAATTGGAAGGGAATTAGAATTCTCCTGCGGGCAGAGATTCTTCCCTTAGCTAAATTGAGCTAAATAAAATAATAGGAGTCATCCAAAGTTTTCCATCTCCATAAGGCAAGTCACTTTGTATCTCTTAAACATAAGAAAAGTTGAACATGAGTCATTTTGGATTATTTTTAAAATAATCACACATCACTTAGAAAATATTCTTATCGAAAATAATTAACCTGAACCTAAGACTTTAGATCTAGCTTCTAATTCACAGGAAATGTGGTGGGTAGAAGAACAAGTTAAATGATACCACAAGGAAATAATGAAATTCAGAATGTGGTATTCTAGTGACAAATGGAATAATCCCTTCAAAAACTCTTTGTCATGGGGGCAGGGGTGGGGGATTCTTCTTAAAAAAAAACAAACAGACACACAAATGCAACAAATGCAATGCAATGCAAGACTGGATCTTGGTTTGGGGGCTTTGTTTGCAGGGGAGTCTTGAGGAAGAGCGGGAAGAGAAACTACAAATGAAATTTTGGGGCAACTGAGAGATTTTAGGTATGTATTGGGTATTTGATATTAAGGAATTACTATTAATTTTCTTTGGTGTTGGTCATGCATGGTAGCTCAAGCCTGTAATTTTAGCACTTTGGGAAACCTAGGCAGGAGGATTGCTCAAGGCCAGGAGTTTGAGACCAGCCTGGGCAACACAGTGAGACCCTGTCTCCACAAAATAAAAAGTGTTTTCAAATTAACCAGGCATGGTGGTTGCCCTCCTGTAATCTCAGCTACTCGAGAGGATCTCTTGAGCCTAGGAGTTTGAGGCTGCAGTAAGCTATGATCGCACCACTGTACTTCAATTTGGGTAACAGAGGAAAATCGTGTCTCTTAAAAAAAAAAAAAAAATTCTTTGATGTGATAATAGTATCACTATTGTATAAGAGAATATCCTTATTTTTATAAGCTAAAGACTGGAAGTGTCATGATGTCTACCACTCACTCTGAAATGGCTCAGGGAAAAAAGATTAATAGAGGAAGCAAATTGGCAAAATGTTAACTACTGCATCTAAATGGCAGGTTTGTGGGTGTTCATTGTATTATCTTTCATTTTTTCTGTATGTTTAAAATTTTTTTTTACAATAAAAAGTTGAAGATATAGCCAGTTAAAAGTTCCTATGATATTAACACGAGACTTTAAACCACACATAGGATTTGTTTTAGATCATTAGTCCATTGATATTCATAAATGCACAGCCTAGTACTAGAATAAGAAATGCCAACCATTCATTACAGCATTATTCACAATAACCAAGAGGTGGAAGCAACCTAAGTGTACATTAGAATAAATGAATAAAGAAAATTTGGTATATACAAACAATGGAATACTACTCAGTCTTTAAAAAGAAGGAAATTCTGTCACATGCTATGGCATGAATGAACCTTGAGGACATTATGCAAAGTGAAATGATTAGTCAATCACAGAAGGACAAAGAATGCATAATGCCACTTATATGAGGCATCCCAGTAGTTCACAGAAATAGCAAGTAGAGTGGATGGTTGCCAAGGGCTGGAGGGAGTGAGAAATAGGGAGTTATTCAATGGGTATGGAGTTTCAATCATGTAAGATGAAAAAGTTCTAGCGACTTCTATACAACAATGTATGTATAGTTAACAATACCATACTGTATACTTAAAAATTTGCTAGGAGGGTAGATTTTATGTTATGTATTTTTTTAATCACAATTTAAAAATGCCAAGCCAAAGCTGCTAGTATAGCTGGGGAAAACAGTTACATACCACCAGAATTTATAGTACAAAGCAATGTAATTGTGTGCCACAAACAGTATACAAGTAGGTACACAAATAAGTATACACAAGGTATACAAATAGTAGGAGTTTAGGGGAGAAAAGGACTAAGATTTAGAATGGTAGAAGGAGGCACTGTGCGAGAGCTAAAAGCTGTGCAGTTTGTTTCAGTAAAACAGACTTCTAAATGTTGACAAAGTGCAAGGCACACAAAGATGTGTGATATGGGGCAGGGGCAAGGACATAATCACTCCCCACGTTATAGTCCCACACATAAAACAAGTGCTTACCATGTAGTGTGATAAACGCTACAGTAGAGTGCTTTGCAAGGGGTGCTAGTGAAGCTCATGAGGACACCAAAATCATGAAGAAAGGGGTGCAGATTTCCAGCAGAACTTATCCCAATATAAATTTTAAATGTAGGCATGCCCAGTAAAGAATTGCTAATTTTTAGATACTGGGCATGCCTACGTTCATTTAGAATATTAAATTGAAGCCAAAGGCTCCATCAGAGCTATTAAAAACCATTATATTTACATAAATATTTATGTAAACCTTTTAAGGTCAATATGGCATTTGTACAATTTGTACTATTTACGCAATTTTAAATTTCATATATTCATCGCAGTTGACAGGGCATCTGTCTTTCAGCAGTAAAATTTCCAGTATCACATAAAACATAAAAAGTTCCAACACAAATACAAATCAGTATCAGTTGAAAGCAAAGGCTTC